CGAGGGAGCAACCAGAGAGGAGAGGGAGAGCCACCATGGGCAGAGCTCGAGAGGACTGGGACTGGCTGTTGCTAACAAGGAAGGAGGTTGAAGACAGAGACAATTCCAAGACATATCGAAAAAGAAATCATTTGAGATTTTGATTAAAACCACTCCAGTGGACTGTCAGATACAGGAGCTGAGAATGGCTTGAAAAACGTACAATTACTGTAAATAAGCTGCAAAATGAAAAAGAAAGGAGTTGTTAGCAGTTAAAATGAAGTGGGGCGAGAACATTTTTGTTGTCTGTCTGTAAGATGACACAACTCTTTCTTGGGTTGTAAGATGAAAGTGGAAAATGTGGATTAAGGAGAAAAATGAGTGATAGCAGGAGATGAAAATAGCTGTAGACAGTTTAGGAGATGGGAAAGAATGTGGTAAGCAGGGGACCTAGAGGGGAGTGAGGCAAATATATATCTGAGAAAGGAGAGAGGTGACTGCAAAACAAAAAAACTAAGTTGAAGAAACAAAATGACATTCATTTTTCATCCATTTGTTCTTGGACAAGATGCAGTGGAGAGACCCTCCTTTGATGACTGGATCAAGAGCGCCAAAAAGAATCTATAGATTACAGGCATCTGATTCAATTCAGCTGGTAAAATTTAATGAGACAGACATGCCCCTTCTCATTTCCCATGGAATTCAGTTCTTTTATGTAAAGCAGTAGAGTCATCAGAGCCTAAGCACTGAGAAGTACCATAAAGAGCCTGATAGCTGAGATATCCTCCAAGGTGGGAGACAGGGATTTGCATTTCTTCATGCAACAACATTGTAAATCCTTAAACAAACACTGCATTTCTTCCCAGGAAGGCATTTTCTGATTTAGACAGACCATAAAATCTAGACACAGGAATCTTGCTGTCAAGTCGTATTGGAATTTAAAATAGCTGATCATAAAGATTTAACCGTTCTGTTGAAATGAATTTGCATTACCCTGGATAAAGCAAGCGTGGTTCCTGTCCTAACTTCTAACCTCATACTGTTCCTGTTAGCAAGATTTGTTTCTGAAATACTACCAAGATCATCAATGCAGATGATAACTTTCAAAACAACCAAAATTAACCTCTGTTGCCCTTATATATTAATAAAAATTGTTTCCATGTCACTGAATAACAGATAGTTAATTTTGTGATGCAAATCTATAGCCCGAAGAAAACTATTTATATTCAAAAGCCTTCATCAAAGCTTCACTGCCATAGGTAGTTAGCAAAAGCTATTAGTTCCTAACTGTTGACTGACATTAAGCCAGTTTTCCAATCTATAGCCAGTCCATTTCATTATAGCCTCTTTAAAATTATGTCATACTATCCCTGTACTTTCAGGTTACTATTTAAAGTCTTGGCAGGGTGTATGTGGGGGGAGGTGGTAATTCTGAGATACTGGAAGCTTTCTAAGAGGGTAAGAGAAGCCTTTTCTAGACAGCCTGGTAACTTAAATTCTTGGGTACATGCAACTTCTTATCGTCTCCATAGCAGGCCTTGGCTCTCAAAGACATTGCCCAGGCCTCTATTCATATAGAGTTGTTTGTTCTGTTCAAAAGTATAGGGAAAATGTAGACACTTTGCCATTAGAAAAGGCTGGAATAGTCAATGTCTGAAATAGCTAAACGCTGTGGAGAACATTTCAAATAAGAGATTGAAATGCTGGATAAGAGAAAGCACTTTGAAGGTTGTGATCAAGTTTCATCTTTGAAGACAGCCAAAAGAAAGTAGACAAGCTTAATGGAAGAGGTTACCCAAGGTGACTTGCCATTACTGTTCCTGAATGGGAAAGCAGCAGGTTAATAAAAAGATCTTTTTTTTCTTTGGTATAGAAACACAGCAACATGATCACACTGTATTTTAACTTGTCAGTGACCATGGTGACTTGCCTTCCCACTTAGCTTCCTCAGCAGGACCTATGGGTATGGTACTCCAAGTACGGAGAAGCTGCAGGTTCACTGTTTCAAAAAGACTACCTGCAAGCCTTAGTCAGATTAGAGTACAACACAAGGACCTGATTAAAGCAAAAACATTTCCTGTGAAACATATGTTCATGCATTACCTATCCCACCCAGCAGACATCTAGTTCCGGACTCCGACATCTACAAAAGGAGGTTAGTGAGAGAAGCCTTGGAGGGAGAGGTAAATTTAATTTTCAAAGCAGCATTCAGATAGCACAGTGAAGCACTATTGGCAGTACAGTGTCATTCTGTAGGTATGCATAATTCTTCCTGAGGAATTTTCCCAGTGTCAGATGCTTGAAAGAGAGTGAAAAACAGAACATTGCCAAAACCAGTGGTATTTCCATGAACTACTAGCTACACTAGCGACTGACTTGTAAGAGGTTAGAGTAACTCTCTGAGACAGACATAACTAAGGGCAACTGCAGAGAGTCACAGAGGGGAAAGCAAACACAGCAACATCCACACTTCAGAAGAAAACCGCAAGTGATCCATTATGGAATCGTCATATCATAATGGTGGCGGAAAAATATCATGGCATGTCTGTGCATTGGAAACACTGCTCAAGAAATCTTTACCTTTGCACAAAATGTACTTGTAAATGCAGCAGATTTGTTTCATCTGCATGGTTTATTTACCGTGTACTGTGGACCTTCCTTTTTCACTAGGCATATTTAGGTTATGCATCTGACTCTTGAAAAGTATTAACACATTGTTCTTTGCAGAAGCGGGGATGTATAAATTCAGTTCCATGCAACTATAGGTGAAAAAGAATAGTAAGAAACTAAAGCTAAGCTTGCAATACTGTTCTCCACTCATGTAACAGAAGTTACCAAAGTAAAATAGGCAAAAGGAAAAACTGGTATATCATATCACTGAAGATGAAATGACACTGAAATTTATCTAGTTTTATTTCTGTCATGTACCTTTTTAGAAACACTTGAAAGATTTTGTCTACTATATATATACTCTTTCTTCTTGAGCCTTTGCTGTTAAATATAATAGTTGTTAACAAACAACAACATGAACAAATACGACCCTCTCCCCCATTAGCTACTTCAGTTCAAGTCTCTGAGAAGTTTTTGCCTGGGTACAGAACAAAACGTACACCCAGATATTCCTGCAGCTTCTGTAGGCACTAATGTCTTCTTTTTTCTGAGTTCCCAGTAACTAGGATAATTGCATTTGGTAAGAGGCAAAACAATTTACGAAAAAAATGACACATTCACTTATTAAAAATTAAATAGGACTTTCATAATCAGCTGCTTCAAATATGTGTGAATAATGACAGCTAGAAACCAGTCTCTCCACATTGCTCATGAAGTGGGTGTGAAGTTGAAGTCGGGGTAAGGGGAGGGGGTGGGGGGGGGGAAAATCACCATGATAAAAGAGAGCTTTCTTGAAGCTTTTACAAGGTCATTTGGCCAAGGCCAGATAAAAGTGAAGAATATTTCTCCAATACACTGTAACAAGAGGAATAAAATAGAATTTAAACTAATCTTTTGCAGCCAAACAAAAATCAAAGTCACACTGCTCCAGGATTAAGTCTGCTGGAAAATAAAGTCTCCTTTTTCTTCCGACAGGTTTTAGGTTTTAATTATGTAAAGCACTCATGAAAGGATTTCTATCTTTTTTTAAATGTGATTCACAAAATGTTCTAATTATTTGCAGATATATTAATAACCCTTTGAACAATATATTAATGTAGCAAGCTGAAACGTGCTTTCAAAACAACAGTAAAACAAAGCTTAGAAAAAGTATACCCATCTGTAACTCTTATACTGTTCATATGTAAATATATCATTAGTGTTGTAGATACTGCAAAAAACAACAAACAAAAAAATCCAACGAGTTGAAGCTCCTTCAACTGCCCCGGGTTTGCAAAACCAAACAGTATTGTGTGCTGCAGAAGACGGTCGTTTCTTCCCCACGGGGAACTGCCTTTGTCTATTCATTGTCATCTGTTTGGTGAATTTAAGCTAATTCTTAAGAACATTTCACTCCTCCTAAAACTGAAATGACACTTCATGAGAGGTGAACAATATTATTTGGATCCCATTTTCATAATACAACCCTGCTCCAAAAATGTTCACTACAATAACGATTGAAACAGAAAGCTAGGAAGAAAGAAGCAATAAGAATTTGAGAGTATCTGAATCTGTGGGAGAAGGGCTGAAAGTAAGATTTGTTTCTAAGCTTGATTTTTTTTTAGTTCCTCTTTATAAAATTCTAGCTTTTAAAAAAACAGTTATGTCAAAGCCATCTCCTAAGGCAAGAATAGTGTGTGTCAGGACCTGCATTTGCTTCAAAATTCCAAGAGCCTAGAAGCAAAGGCTCTGCAGAAATTTTAAAATGAGAATTGGGAATTAGAGTAGGGAACCCATTTGAGAAAAGGACATCGGTGCAGTGAGGCTTATGAAAAGGTCATTTGAAAACAGAGGGCCTGATTTCCGTCACTCAGTACTGGTGTTTGACCTACAGACTCTATTGATATGAATAGCCTCCCTTTTTTCTCATGGGAAATAGCTGGAAGAATGCAGCCCAGAACAAAGCCATTTTCTTTCACTTACATCCACTGGAAATTTGCACAAACGAGTCCTGCATTGCCAGCTGCATTCCTCAGCTGCCCAGGTTTTTTGGACACAGTCCGTGAAAAAGTGACTGTGACCATTCTGAGGTTTTAGCATCAATATCACCACACCTGGAGCCGATGCTTTCAGCAGCATCGGCTCTTCCTCTGATAGAAATATACATTGTGTCATTGTTCTTTATGAGAGAAAACGGTTGTAGTGATTTGGCCTTCAAAGACCCAGAAAGGAACAGGACAACCTGGCAATAGCCAGTTTCAGAATTAGCTTGCTTTTATGAGGCTATGTAATGACAGAGTTGGAAACCGTTTATTTTAAGTCCCCTTGCATAATTCTTGAGGATAAAACATCATAATGAAATATCAAATATGAAGTCAAAGTAACACCAGCACTGGTATTAAAAACAACTAAAACAAGTTTATTATTCTTACCTTTGGGCAACATGGACCCTTTATTCCAGATATTTTGATCCCTAGATTAAAAAAAAAAAAGTAAAAAAAAAAATTAGTACAGTATAAACAGATTTACAATGATGTATTTATACAAGGAATTATGGCTATCCACTTGGATGGATCTTTTCTCTTAATCATTTGGTGCCATTTGCTGCCTTTTGAAAGTCCACCTAAATTTATAATTACATCCTTCTGCAAGATTCCAGTTCCAGTAATAAATATTTCACTTATTTGAACTGAATGTGACTAGAAGGACGTACGAACTCAAAGCGTAAACATATCTTAGTTTTGCTGAAAAAGTTAATACAGAAATGTTGCAAATACCTTTAGATGCCGCAATCCTTTCTTGATCTCACACAAACTGAAGGAACAAAAGGTTTCTTCCCTTCCTCCCCAGGCTCCCACTATTCTCTTTTAGGATGAGATTTTCAAAGGACAGAATGATTGAACTCAAAGTCAAGTCAGGCAGAACACATCTGCATATGCTGTTTGACTGTTTTTTCAGAGGTAAGTTATTAAAGTCAGCTACAGCATGTCAGGACTCACTCAATTTTGGTCACTCTATCAATGCTAATACTTCTGCAGAATGATTTTTTATTTTCCTTCATCATTCTGGCAGGAAAGACTAGCACTTTACTCTCAATAAAAAAAAAAAAAACAGTTTTAAGAAAAAAAATGATAATCTTTCCAAAACTGATTGTACCTAAACTAATCAGGTTAAAGCTAAGTTAGCAAAATGCATTCTTTGTTAAAACAAAAACAATCATGTTGGATTGCACTCTAGAGCCTTCTTATATAAATATTCAATTGCCAATGTTCCCATGTTGAATGAAAAGCTTTTTCTTGTGCTGGGAAACCAGCATTTTCAATGCAACTCTACACATGTAAAAGCTCATTAAAGTCTCCATTACAGTCTGATTGTCTATGGAAGACTGTGGCATACATGCTGGCCTTGTGACTTCATAACTTTGAGCTATGATTTTTCTTTGTTGTACAACAGTAAAATTCATGACACGTTCCCTGTTGAATTGTAAGCAAATAATATAAATCCAGTGTTCACCGAGACTCCAAAGAAACACTCCAAAGCAGCTAACTACAAAAACAAAACCAACTGTTAATCCACTAACCATACTTATTTAAAACAGTTTTATCTAGTCTCCACTGAGTTCCTGTTCTATATGTGGGAAAGAATGTAGTTTCCTGTCGCTCTGCACCTGTGTATTCAGGCCATAAGTTGTCTCCCTCTTTAAATATCTGGAATTATGCATCATCTGAAAGAGCAGAGTCAGCATCTGAAAGAGCATTCCTCATTTTTATGCATGACATGCTGTAATGGAGACATGAAACGGGAAGGTGTAATATGTCATATCGCCTTCTAGATTGCAGGTTGATTATAGCTCAGAGAGTTTCAGCAAGAAAACTAGTATTTCATTAAAGAAGAGTCAACACATAAATTGCAGCTATTCACCGTTATGACCTTTCCTCATTAATAGAATTGACAAAAGGGTACTTGACAATGCTCGGTTTCCATATTAAAACAAACAAACAAACAAACAAAAAAACCAGGAGCCCTGCCACAAGCTTTCTATGCATTAGCACTTGGCCTCTGCAAATCCCTCAGTACTGGAGTATGGGCAAATCTCATGAGGGAGCAAATATAAAAGTGTTTAACTGCGTAACTATTCTAAAATAAGTCTTTCATAAAAATAGAAGTATTTTTATATTTAATTAAAACTGATAATTTGTGCCACTACAGTAAACAGAAATTGTCTCAGATCGTGGCTAAGTAAGGATTAAATCCTATTGGTCAAACTTTGATGTTGAAATGCAAGCTGGTTCTTTTTCCTCCTATCCTAAAATTCCTTACACCTATGTTAAAGACAACGGCAGCACAGAGGACATCAAAGTTTTCCACATAGCCTATAATAAGACTCACGTCCATCTCAAGGGTGCAGTAGCTCACAGAGAGAAGTGGAAATTAATTAATTTTTCTTCCCATTAAAAAAGCAAACAACATAATCAGCCAGAGAGAGCCATAGCATTTACAACCAGAAAGGGAGACTATATTACTTTCATGAAGATACTTCTTGAAATAACAGCATATAAATATTCCTAATAAAACACAAGATGTCTAGAGGGCAGAACTAGCAAGACCTCGTTTCCTATCAGTTAGTGGACAAAATGATGGGCAGCGCAACTACTCTTCTTCCTGTTCCCAAAACCTGCAGAACAATTTCACCTCCTTCTCCCGTGTCCTTTATGATATTCTTCTCCTCCTTTTCCTCTCTTAGCCCACAGGAAAATACCGCTGAGCTGCAGTTGGTGTGGAGTTGTGCCCGTGCTAACTGGCCAGATGGCGGCTGCCCAACAGCACATTGAGCGCTCTGTCCTTCCCACCTTCCTGCGGACAGGGGCACTGCGTTAAGGTCCCTCTCCTCTATCCAGTCACTACTTTTCACAAAACACATAGAAACCTAATTGTCTTTGGGACTTATACAGCCTTTCAAACTCAGCAAAGATTGGCCAGCAGGCTGGAAAACCTTAACTGCAAGGCAGCAGGCAGTGCGATTGTAACAACTTCATTTCCTAGGAAACCGGGCTAATAGGAATAATAGTAAAAAAAATATAGTAGGTGCATGGACAGCATGGCACAATGCTCAGTTTCTGCAAGTTTGAAGTCATTGTGACTGTGAAGAGTTCAGTCAGGGAAGGACAAAAAAAAAAAACACACACACCCAAGCAGCAACAAATATTTCCTCTTCACTATTCCTTCTGTGCTCCTGTATAGAAGGAGCGGGCTCAAAAATACCTGCAGATCTTAACTTCAGGAACCTATTTCATTCCTTTTAATCTCAGTATATAGTCTGACCTGCTTCCGTTAACCCCATTGCAATATTAAAGACTATGCTGCAGACTACATGACTTCTAATCCCCATCTTCAGTTAAACTCTTTTTGTTTAAAAACCCAAAAAAGAACTTGGATATAATCAAAGACACTGAGGTTGCAGCCTCCAACCTTTTTTTTTTAGACATATTTTTCTTGTTACTGATGCTTCTTGTTACTTGTTGCTCGTTACTAACACTCATTTTTAATTCCTCTTGATGATGACATATTCTTTCATACTTTATTCTTTCCTTGCTTTGTTTAGCCTTCTTATCTCAATTCATGGCATATAGGAAAAACAGATAGTCTAGCATTATCCAACAGAAGGTAAGTTCCTTGGGAAACATTAAGTAAACACCCAGAGTGGGAAAATTATCACTACTCCTACGCAGAGGGTTTTGTTGCAATTGTATTGATGCATTCTTGCTATATTAAAAAACCCCAATAATAATAGATTGTTTCTTTATGTCATAGAGCTGTCTGTTATTGAAACTGTGCCTGGGTTCAGTGCACTCATTTGGTGGTACAAACACCTGCCCTGTTGAAGGATATATAGCATCTGACTGAAGGCAAAGCTCCACTCCCATCACAGATGACAGCAAAGTTTCCAGTGATGATGGTGGATGCTTGAGATGCTAGAGTTTATAACACAGCCAGGATCCGCAATATCCTAGACTTCCTTTTGGGTTTCCCAGGAGAACTGGGATAAAGGACACAAAGTGAAATTAAAGAATCACAGAATCACAGAATTGTTTAGGTTGGAAGGGACCTCTGGAGATCATCTAGTCCAACCTCCCTGCTCAAGCAGGGACCTCTAGAGCACATTGCCCAGGATCACATCCAGACGGGTTTTGAATATCTCCAGCGAAGGAGACTCCACTACCTCTCTGGGCAACCTGTTCCAATGCTCTGTCACCCTCACAGCGAAGAAGTTTTTTCTCAGGTTCAGACGGAACTTCCTGTGGTTCAGTTTGTGCCCGTTGCCTCTTGTCCTGTTGCTGGGCACCACGGAGAAGAGGCTGGCCTCATCCTCTTGACACTCCCCCTTCA